AAGTATAGTTAATCTAAGTTTAAGCAAACTACGCTTCCTCATACACATGCGCTAACGTGTAAGCCGAAGTAGTGGGCACACAGTGAGCCCATTACACCGACGAAGACTCTGATGAAGACGATCTGGACGAGTTTTGGGAGCACAAGTATGAGAACACCCAGGGCACTTGTTATGCCACACGGCCGTCTTACTATCAAAAGCGATAAAAATCACTGGCACAAGCTACTTTACAATCGCGAGCACACGTCTGATACGGACTTTTTAAAGGACTTTCGAATGAAGCGCTCAGCATTTTTCGGGATAGTTGCCACACTAAAAAAATCCTCACGTTTCTTCGTGTGCATTGCAGAAGAACTTGGTAGCATTACAAGGGCATGGTAGCAGCGTTTTTCACATGGAATCCCCTCGAATGCGCTACAAGCACCTGACGAGGTCAACATGCTCGCTGCGCATGCCACGTGGACAGGACGCTTGCAGCCTGGTCGCTGGCATTCACGAATAGCACTCCTTCCGCTCAACGTGTTGACTTTCTAGCAGCCTTTCCAGCAGCATGTATTCTTTAATGGCACAACATGGTTTGACAAATCCGTATTAGCTGTGCCGTCAGCACTTTGTAGTCCGTCCCACGACCGTCTACCTGACGAGTTCGTATGGAATACGGACACAGGCCGGAGAACCAACCCATGGACGGAAATCTGTCCATGAGTACGTCTGCAACGCATGTGGCACGTACAGACTTCCCCCACCTGGCAGATCCAGAGTGGGAAGCTCTGCAAAGAATGTCTACAGTCATTGGAGAGGCAGCCGTAGCAACAATCCTACGAACCCTGTTGCCGACAGAGCAACACGATGTTGCTCTGGTGAAGGCGCAGCGAGATGCTGCTGCTGCTGTGAAAATCTGCAACATTCTAAAAAAAGTTAGAGCCAAAAATAAATAAAATAACTACCAATAATTAGGACCAACCTGCATATGGTTTCGCGTTTTTTATCCCTTGTGCGTAACGCGCCGAATGGCAAGGATATTTCTCTTAAGAAATGGCGCGGTCCTCGATCGAAGGGCAACATACTTGAGAGGCGAGTAAAGGCTGGATCGAACTTTGCCATCATTAAAATTAAGCACTTCGTAGTTACGCAAAGTTTGCGTTTTTTTCTCATTTCTGGAACATATTCAAGAGGCCTAGACACCACAGCTAATAGATTATAAAAAAGAAAAATAGAAAATAAAAAGCCCAAACCTCTTTCTAAGGTCGTGTTTGACTTTAAATGACCAAATCGCGTAATTAACGCTCTGTGCAGTGGGGCTGCCGTTGCTTAGCGTCAGAGGAAGACGGTTAACTCAAAGAGTAAAGGGGTTAACTCAACATCTTATTAAAGGTTAATAGGCCTTAATATCCGAAGGCACCTACTAAAAACAACCTTAATAAAAGGTGGTTACTCTTTGTGTTCTAAATCCAAAACTGTTTATTTATCTTTTATTGCGGCAAGCCGCCTATGGGGTAAATGTATGCGGTTAACTATCTAACATAGTAAAACCTAATCAAATGCATATTCTGTGGCCCTCAGCCTATGTACTGAGGCCACCGTTAACTCTACGAGTCATGTACTGAGAGTCTGTTAACTCTTCGGGTACTCCGTACCCATGTGTGGAACACACTAGGTGTAACCCCGTTACACTCCGGCTGAAATTGCTGTGTAGGCATCAACAAAGCAAGTACAGCACCAATAATCGTAGCCAACCAATTGATTGTAACACCACAGTGTTAAATAGAGGTAGATAGCCTGCTTGTCGGTTGCAGGATCATACTTAAAATGGTTGGAGACGATGATGACGACGACTTATGGCTTCAACAGGCTGTATGAGCTCTATTGAAGGCTAATCATAAAGAAACACTACGTCTAATACCAGCTACATTTCCTTCTCAAGACGTTAGAGGTGACTTTACCTCATCACAAGCTAAAAAAAACTTCGGCTCCCAGAGCCCATTACGGAAACTGCATTCCAAATGCTCCATCTTTCGCTACGGTCTTCCGACCCCTCTTCGCCGTCACATAGTGGCAACATGTCGGGATGCGACAGCCCGCGCTCCCCACAGGCCACCCCTCTGACGAGAAGGCTGCTCGACAGCGGCTCCGTGTACAACAGTACAACGACGAGCACCGGCGACGTCATGTCCCCGGCTCGGTGAGCCAACGTCCAAGTGGGAGCGAAGCTCAACGTTCTCCTGAGCCACCAGGGGCGCCCACGCAGCGGCGCACCCGACATGGCGAGCTAGAATCCGGTGACGTCGCCACTGGCGAGATGGCTAGAAGCCCTGCACGGTCGGAGACCTTCCAGAGGCCTTCAAGGCCAGCATCGAGCTCTCGCGACGTTCGGACGCCCAATCCGTTCCCCAACCGTTCTTGGCCGGCTTCAAACGATCTGTACAACGCGCCACCACTCTTCTCAAAGTATGAGGATGAGCTCACTGAGCCCGGTGTCATTTCCAATGACCTTGACGGCGCCCAGAGCCGTCAGATCGCAGCGGAGTTTCACGCTCGGCCTAACCGGCCTGTG